GTGTGTGTGTGTGTGTGTGTGTGTGTGTGTAAAAAAAGACAATTTTACTAAATTCTTGGGATTAATAAATAAACCGTAAATCAGTATTTTATGAAGTTAGAAAACAAACTGAACTTCCTAATTAATAATTAACTAAGTATCCTCATTTTATTATGTTTACACAATGAGCTCTAGTAGTTAGTCTTGACTGCATCATATGATACTTTTATCATGAAATATTCTCTGCACCATATAACAGTTGAGGTCTGACTTCATGTCACCTTGATGGTTGTCAGTGACATCCTATGTCATGAGACAGTACCCAGGTACTGTCCTCCAGTAAGAGAACACCTGTCCATACATGGCACCTGGCAGCAGTCAAAGTGCTTTCAGGGACTAAAATGTGATTATTTTGATTCACACTCGATAAAGTTATCAGTTTTTAATACTTGTCGGACAACTCAAACTGGACGTGATTTACAGGTAACACTTTCAACTGAGGAGGGAAAGAAACAAAGCCAAAGTGAAGGGATGAATTCTTTAACACATAAAGAAGGCACCCAGGGAGCCAATCAGAACACCTCTGCCCTTCAGGTAAGTCCTAAAAGGAAAACTAGAATATAGGAAAAAATATATATATGTATTATTTTTTAATATGTATTTTTGTTTTCCCTAGACTTCAGAAAAGAACACGCCAGTGCAGTCGTTCTCCTCCGTGTTGCCAAAGGCTCTCTCTGCTGTCATGAATCCAGCCTTTAACCCTCAACCTAAAACCCCAGAGAAAAACTCCAAACCGAACCTGGACCAGCTGCAGACGGAGCTGAGAGATCTGAGGGACCAGTTTGAACAGATGAAGATTCAGCACAAGTATGGCTTTTGTTGTTTTTATTCCCAAAAAGCAAATTAGCTCAGGTTATTTTACCTAATTCCTAATGAAGCCTTAGTTTAAACAATATGTTGATTTATTTTCACGTGTTTATTCTTCTTTGTTCTCTGCATTATTCTGATATTTTGTGTTCCAGCAAAGAAATTAAGCTGCTGATGAACGAGCTCGACGAGGAGAAAAGGATTCGTTTAACTTTGCAGGTAAATAATATATAATAAAAGATGTTGACATTTCGGTCCATACTTGCTGTCGGATGTAGAATAATCAGAGCTGATGTGTGGTCATGGTGTCCTGCTTGATTTAAGATGGAGATACAGCGTATGAAGAAGCACATGTCAAAATGAGGTGAGAGGATGAGGAGAGCGAGAGATACTCCTGGAAGGAATTTAAAATAATTTGAAATATTCTGGATACAAAAACTTTTATCTGGAAATGCTACGATGACGTGTTCAGCATTTATGACTGATTAGTGAGGAATAAGTGGGTATTAGGCACATTTTAGTTCTCAATGCTTGAAGTTTTAATGATTTTGTTATGTGATGTCAAAACTGATCTTGTATGTGTTGTAGTTTTTCATCACCCGCATAAAATACATTACATTTCAAAAGTCTTATTTCCTGTGTAAATACAAATCTGAATAAAAAAAAAAGTATTTGGAAAACGAGCTGGTTGTCTTTTTGTTTTGGTTGCCAAACTGAATGAACATTAGGAGTTGATC